AAATAGGACACTGACAGGGAACCAAACATGGACAAGGGGTTCATCAGCTGAGGCCTGACACTAACTGAGACACACAGGAAAGGGGCACTGCTGACCCAGTCTGCTGCCAAGAGGCTGCCTCTGCGTATCTCTGGCTTGAAATTCAACTATCCCAAGTGCTGTGGAAGTCAACAAAGAGGCTGCATAAGAGGCTGCCCACCTGCTATCATAAGCAGCTTCTCCAGGTCCTTGATGATGTAAATTTGGAAGACCGCTCCAATTCCTGGGATGTGGGTTAAGGAGTTTTTCAAGACATTCAGTGCATAGAGCCCTTCCTCTGTGCCCACCAGCACCACCTGCCAAGGCAGAAGTTAGGAGACACAGTATCAGTTATCTAACCATAACAGTTGTGTTTAAACACAATCAGTTGTGTTTAAAAGCAATGACACTAACCCCGCCACCCATGCTTCCCGACAGTGTGTGACTGTGGCCAGCCATTGGGACGGTGCCAAAGCAACATACCTGGTCGCTGAAGGGCAGGGTACAGTTCATGTCAAGCCGGTCATCCCCTTCCAGTTTCAGCAGAGAGTTTCCAAGTAATTTCTGTTCACATGTGAAAGGAAAATAGAAAAGGGGAGGAGACACAGCGAGTTCAAACTGTCTACAACCAAACTGTTCAGAGAGACAGAAATGTAAAGTCAAGTTCAAAAGCACACACTAGACCCAGGGCCTCAAATGGGGCTAAGCACTTGACCACTGAGCCACAACCCCAGCTCTGGCTCCATCTTTTGACTGAAGTCCCAGAGGCAAAGCGGACATTATGGTGGTTCCAGGGCAGCTGTTACTTAGTTTCAGAGTTACAACTTTGTACAGACACACACAAGTGGGTGGCATAGGCACAGAAAGCTATGCTGCAACAGGAAATAAGATAAAGCTACGAAAGGTTACCAAGCCTTACACAGACACCCTTCTCCACCTCAGCTGCAATAGAAATGCAAGCACAGGTGTCCATAGCAAGGCAAGCTTCTAGTCCTCTTGACCTCAGCCCACACAGGCTGCTGCTCACAGGAAGTACAGTCACGTGCCTATTGTACATGAGCAAAAGTCTCGTGTATGGAAACAGACATGATACATCTATGTGGACCGATGTGTCCACTGTCTCAAGGATAAATGGCATATCAGGCCTGCCTATGGAGAATGGGTGCTGAAGGGGCAGCTGGAGAGGCTATGAACAGCTTCCTAGGGTTCGGGAACTCACTGGCAGACTGGGTCAGAGTGCTTGTAACTCGAGGACCCCACTGAGTAAATGTGAGGGCTATTCCAGGCAGACTCCACAGCTTCCTTTGCCCTGCAGGGTTGCTGAAGGAGGCATGGAAGTACTCCACTGTTGTCTACAGCCTGTACCTTCAACACCACAAAGCTAGTCATGACTCAGCTGCAGCTATCGGCCCTCAGACGAAGCAGGAGGGAAACCTAGCCAGGCAGTGGGATTCCCACCATTACAGTCAGTGCCCACAGGCACACATCTACAGAGAGAAGCCCCACCCCCACCCCACCCAACCCTGTCATGGTCATACTCACGGCATCAGCTTCTGCCTTTTCCCTAGAAACTCTCCCACCTGCGACGACAGATTCTAAGGCAGTGACCCAGCGCTGCTTGTCGGGAAAGCTGGGTGCTAGCAGGTACAGGGTTCTCCCAGGCCAGCATGTGGTGTGTGGGTGAGACTCCATCTTCAGTATGTATGGGACATCTACAAGATTTCAGAGAGCACAAGATTGGCCCCCGGATGCCTTCTCCCGGACAGAGATGATGTCATGGCATTGCATCCTACCAAAGCCTGCAACTTGAGCTAAGAAGGGAGACAGAGGTCTTGGCAGAGCATCTTGTCTCCATCCTGTTCCTCTCATCCCCACCTCCTGGGCAGGGCTCTTCTGGGTCCCACTCACCTGCTTTGGCTGTATTTGCAAGTTCAGAAGCACCAACGGCACCATGAATAGATACATCCCCGTCAGGAAGGCACAGCTCAAACTCTTCCACCGGCCTCTGTCCAGCTTGGTGCAAAGAGGAAGGGCGGAAGGAAAAACAAAAGAACAGGACCAAGAACAAGAGAAGAGAGACAAGAAAAAGAGGAAGGGGAGGAGAAGGAGGAAAAGGAAATGAGAGGAGAGGAGAGGAGAGGAGAGGAGAGGAGAGGAGAGGAGGGGGGAAGAGGAGAGGAGAGGAGAGGCCAGTAAAGTGTAAAGAGTTTGCACAAGGACAAAGAAGGAAATGAGGTGCAGACAAGGCAGAGAGGGAAGATAAAAACAAAAAATAAAGTGTGTCAGATGAGGGGTACAGTCAACTTTCTGGTGACGATGCGGATTTATGGGCTAGTTGACTGAGGCGGAAGATCTCTGGTGTGTTAGCAGGTGGAATCTTCAGGGCAGCACCCTGCGGGTTCTTCAAGGGGGAGACCTATAGATTGAGTATCCACCAATAACCTTTAGAGAAGTCATCTGGTTTTTAACTTTGAAAAATGGAAAAGCAGAGAAGTCTCGTGAGGCAGTCCAAAAAAAAAAAAAAATTAATAAATAAATAAAACTAAAAGCAAAGCCTTCACGCCAACATTGGAAGGCCTGGGTTAGCCTCGTGCAGTGATATTCCCCCTGAATCATTAATTTACCTTCTCTGGCTTCATTGTCATAGATGAGGACTTTTGACCCTTCCAAGACAATGTACTTCCTGTCCCAGCCTTGCTGTCCTCGTTTGTTATTTCTGGGAAAAGAAAGATGGACAAGAAAAATGTCAGAACTCAAAAGCAGTAGACTGAAGCAAGGTGGTGGGGCTTCCTCAAACACTTCCTTAGAAGATGGGGAGAGGGGAAGTGGCTTGTGGGCCTTCCAGGGCAACACCTGCTGGTGCCTCAGCCGCCTTACAGTGATACCTGGGCACTTTCATCCACCCTTCCAGGTGCAAGCTGCTGCTGGGCTCCTTGCTCTGGAGACCTGGTGAGTTCATTTTGTCACGACAGAAGGCCTCAGTGAAGTGTGTGGCGTATTCAGCAGGCAGGCCGCAGGTGGCTGGCAAGCAGGTGGAGCACTTGGGATGACACATCACCTGACATTCTAGAGGAGAGGAGAGGAGAGGAGAGGAGAGGAGAGGAGAGCTGTGAACAGGAGAGGAGAGGAGAGGCAGGAGCTGTCAGGGGGAGAATACATGGAGGGGGGGTTTGGGAGGGGGGAGTGAACAGTCTGAAGACACTCTAGGCTGGGCTGGGACAGCTCCAGCTAGGCCATGACATGAGCTTCTCCAGCACCCCCCCCCCCACGGGACTGCAAGTGGAGTTGGTCACACGGGTGATTCCTATGCTTTCCTAGGTGCCAGGGGAACTGCTGCCCTCCACCCAGCTTGCCTGGCTTCCGTCTAGTGAGGTATGTACAGGAATATGTTTGCATGTTCAGTTCAAGCCAGGAGAGGAGAAACTAGCCTGATACCAAGGGGCTGGAAATTAACAAAGGTGGAAGCATTTTACAGGTTGACTTGGAAGTCAGGAGATGAAGCCACCATTTAGAGTCACTGCTTTACACAAGGGAAGAACAGTGTCCTCCCACTGAAGTGAAAGCTTTGGCAATGAAGGTATTACACAACAGTCTAAAACATCGCCTCCACCTTTCACAAATGGAGACACACAGGTGCCCAGCATGGCCGCTACTCTTACCGAGACATTTGGATGCCTGGCGTCCAAAGTGCACAGTATCCAGACACACGGCGCATTTGGTAGCTCGCATGTTCAGTCCCACGTTAAATCGGTGAGGAATGTTGTGGTGCATACGCTCCTTAAGACGCCGGCTAAATTCTGAAGGAAAAAGATTGTCAATTGAAAGTGGAAAGAGAATCTAGAGGACGGGAGAAACAGTCTCTGGTGAGGGTTTGTATCAAGAATCTATTAGAGTTCTTACAACCCAGTACTTTGTCTAGATATTTCCCCAAAGAGGAAAAATGGTCCCAAAGTACCTGACAAGATTCGAGGTGTCATTAGGCTTTAGGAAAAATGCAAATTAAAACCACAGCAAGGTACCATGTTGCACGGAAACATCGAGAAGAGAATGTGAGAAATGGAAAACCGGGGTTGAAGGGGATGTGGAGAAATGCCATCCTTTGCACTTTCCAGTGAGGACAGAAAATGGTACAGCTACTTTGAGATCCAGTTGGACATTTCCTCAAAGAGTTACACATAGAATACAACATGTGCATTGCTCTAGCAATTCCATTCCTAGCTTTAAGCGCAAGAGGACAGAAGTCACCCACCCATGACTGCATATCGCTCACAGAGGCACAACTTAACAGCAGTCAAAAAAGCAGAGGCAGCTCAAGTGCCTCCCCTCAGTAGCACAGTGGGGAAGATGCACACCACCCCGACAATGAAATGTTATTTAGCCATGTGAAGAAAAGAAATGTGATAGTGATGTGTGCTACAAGGTGGGCAGGTCTCAAAAACAGGATGCTCTGGAAAATAAGTCAGTCACAAAGGGCTGCGGGTAGTATGATCCCATTCATTTGAAAGAGCTAGAAAAGCAAATCCACAGAGCAATAAAGTACGCTAGTGGCTGGGGGAGGAGGGGAGAGAGAGAAGAAACAAATATCTGCTGACAAGAGTTCAGCGGTCCTGTGGTTTCAGGGGTTGTCCTGGATTGTACATTTTCTTTCTTTTTTTTTTTTTTTTAATTTTTATTTATTATATATACAGTCTTCTGCCTGCAGGCCAGCAGAGGGCACCAGATCTCATTCAAGGTGGTTGTAAGCCACCTTGTGGTTGCTGGGAATTGAACTCAGGACCTCTGGAAGAACAGCCAGTGCTCTTAACCTCCGAGCCATCTCTCCAGACCCCTAAACATGTTTATTAACTGATTATTTGTAAATAGTCATGAAAGTGTATATCCAATACTTCTCATGGAACTCAATTTAAAAGTAATAATTATGAACTGTAGAATATTTTTGTTATTGAAGTAAGAACTGGCTGAAGAATTCTTTTATGAATGACCTTTTTATGTCTGTAGAACTGAATCTTACATTTCTATTGCAGCCTGTTAAATTAACAAGGCTGACCTCCTCCTTCCCTGCCCCAGTGCACTGGTTCTCCCTCAACAGTGACCTGGTGAGATGCAACTTTATACAGAGGAAAGCTCAGAATGTACCTCGAGTTCTGCTCTGCTGGGGTCTCCTTACCACGCCACCCCTCTTTCTTTCTCGGGAAGTTGCATGGAGTGATATGAATGCACAGTGACAACCAGAGGGTATGATACACACCCAGGAAGGACATGGGGGACCACAGCGCCCAGAGAACTGTTGCAGGACACCTGTTGGTGGACACCTAGACAAGGAATGGTTCTTTATCTGGACTACTTTTAGAGGTAGACATTCTGACCAAGGTACCCTATAAACACAGCAACAAGAAGGCTCCTTGGTTCATAAGAGCACAGCTACGAGACATTGTCATCAAAACTCACAACCTAAGACAGTTGATGGTGAAGCCAGGGCAGTTCTACTTTGCTCCCCCAAGGTTTCCAGGACCATTTCCCCCCCCCCCCCCTTTTCCAAAGTCCTTTTCATCTCTGCATGACACGGTGCTTTTGAGACCACAAAGAATACCCTTTAACCTGTCAGTGGTCATTGCAACTGGCTGCAGGTTGGCCACATTTGAAGTGCCCATAAGTGCCCATAACCTTTCACCCACTGATTCATTTCCTAAGAATCCACCCCTCAGCCACTCCTGGAGGTACAGGATGTCCTGTAAGGTGCACCAGGCTTCGAGGACAGGTCTCCTTTAGTAGGGGACTCATCTACCTACACCGTGGAATACTGTGTGCAGTTCTTTGCCCGAGGGAAGTGGATCTAATGCACTAATGTACAAAAGAAACACTGAGGTAGCTTGCAGTGTCCAGGACAGTGCTAATAAAGATTTTTTATTTTTAAAGTGGACCTTTTTTATGTCTGTAGAACATAACCTGTGACTTACAGGTTAATTTTCTCATGTTCACTGTCATAGCCCTTGCTGTCCTGAAACTCTCAGAGATCTGCCTGCCTCTGCCTCCTGGGTGCTGGAATAAAAGGTGTGTACCGCCATGCTGACTTGTGCTCTTGAAATATATTCATATCAGGTATGGGACTGAATACTAGCAGTAGCTATTCTGAAAAATACAATGGTTGACTCTGGGTAATAGATGGGGAAGGACTTTTAGTAGTGTTACACTGGAGTCCTGAGGGTTCCTGGGTTAGGTATGTCTGGACACACGGTTCCATCTGACACGCTGAGATGCAGTAACATACCTTTGCAAGATGCTGGCACCACACTCTTGGATTTCTCAGCCAAATAAATATCTTTTCTCCATAAACCACCTGTTTCAGACGTTTTGTTACAACAATAGGAAACAGACTGAGACAAGAGCATACCCTCTGGAGTTGATGGTTCCTTTCTGCGGCTGGATGGTGGGGCAAGCAGGCTCATGGCACTGGGTTGGTGCTCAGGCGACCGCACAATGGCAGACATGGCAATCTGCTGCCTCGCAGTGGCTGGAGTAGACGGGTGTGGGTGGTCCGTGGCTTTGCGGTGGGCAGCTGCAGAGGTACCAGGACAAAGCCGGTCAGTTGACTCAGTCATTGATTGGACCAGACTAAGAAGGTTGCCTGTGGCTGCCTTTCAAGGACCAGAGACCAAAAGGTCAGGTGTTATGCTAACTCCGAGGCAGGAAAATGTTCAGACTCCAGACATGTCTGGAGTGAGAACACACGGGCCACAGAGATGCTGAAACTAGTCTCAGCCAGTCTCATGGGGAATGGCCTGTAGTTTTGAAGGCTTTCTAAGGGCTCCTACCTTCCTCCCGAGCAGACCGCAGTTCGATGCGGGTCTTCTGAAGGGCTTCCTCTAGCTCTGCACAGCGCGCTTTCTCCTTCTCCAGGGCCAGCTTCAGTTCATTGTACTGTAGAGGAACCTGTGTGGGCAAAGCAGGGTCCTCTTTCCGTCGACTAAATAAACCCTAGCAATGGAAACAGAGATATCTCCTAACTCCTAGAGACTGGCACTGGACCCAAGCTAAAGGAGAGCTGACTTCAGGCCAGGCACATACTCACTGTAAGTGTGTTTGGGGGAAAATGGCATGTGAAGGGGGGAAGGGGAGGCTGAGCCTCAGCCCATCCCGGTCTGCTGAAAAAAAAAGTGAGGTGCAGAAGTTTTCACCGAGAGGGTTAAAGATGCTTCAACTGCCACCACCTCTTCCTTTAGCATTCCCAAGACAGGACAGCCACTTCCCGAGAGTCTTTTCCCCTCAAAAAATGCAATCGGGTTGGATGGAAGATGGAGCTGAGTGAGATGGCTACGGTTCAGAGATCGCTCTTGCCTTTGACCTTGTCTCATGGTGCTTGGTGACAAGACATGGGGAAGGGGTGGGGAGTTTGTTTTTTGGGGTTTTTTTGTTTTGTTTTTTTAAAAAAGAAAGCAAAATTTGAAAATGAATGCCAAAATGATATTAAAACAAGGGGCTTACTAAAAAAAGAAAAGAATACCAACAGAAATACTGTACACAAAAGGGAAAAAAAATGGAATCACGCATCTGACAAAAAAAATTAACTGAGAGAAAACCAAATACAAACACCGAAAACCAAATGCAAACACCCTAACTACATCAATGACACAACCAGACAACAGTCCGCTGCTAAAATTAAAAAAAAAAAAAAAAGATTAAATATCATGAGCATAGCAAATATGGTACCATGGTATGCAAGAAAACCCTCCCATGGCCAGCACTTAGCAAGAGGCAACCTTGGAATGCTTGCCGCTCACCCCTTGTAGTGAAGGTGACACAGGGAACACCAAGGCCAGTCAATGGTTTTGGTCCTCCATTACCTTCTTCTGGCTATTCCAAGTCATTAGGCTCTTCCCTTTCAAGCTGCTGCCATGGCCACTACAGTGTGCCAGGACCCTTGGGAAGAAACTGCCGAGCCCCTTAGAGACCTTTCTGGAACTCAGAACATTTGGCCAACCCTGGATGAGCACTTTAGCCACTGGGGAAGGCATGGACTGGGCTTATTTATGAAAAGCAATCTCCACCCAGCAATCTTCACATGCACTGGCCTTAGCTGACTGCCCCCAGCACCCTAGACTGGGGCGGAAGCTAGGGCATCATATGTCACAGCTGGCCTCTCATTCAGTTTTTCATTTCTTTGTTACAATTTAAAGCAGAGCACCCAGTGCCAGTGAAGGCAACAGCTGTCAAGTTTTAACCAGGTTCCTTTCAACTTCCTGTATCCAACTTAGTCACTTAACAGCACTGCAGTAGGCAGGTGTGGGAGGGCACACCTGAAATCCCAGCACTCAGAAGGCAAAAAAACAATGGTGAGTTGACGTCCAGCCTGAGCAAAATTCCGTCTTGTAAAAGGTCAAAGTATAAAACTAGGTAAAAGCACTGGACTAGGTCACCCTGGAGACACCTGTAGGTGACATGAAATCTGCTAAACTTTCAGAAGCCACTTCCAGATGACCTGACCCACATTAGAGTCCTAGACACAGAACTTCAAGCCTAATATTCAATGTACACAGATGGCCCACTCCATCCTAGCTTCTCTGCAGGATTGAAAGATCCACTCCAGCTATATTCAGATCCCATTCTCGACCCAGAATAAACAAAAATGTATGCTTTTTTCCTGTCTGTATGATTACTTATCACAACGGTACCCACAGAGTCATGGGTGATGGAGCAAGACTGGCTGCTCCTACTGTCAAGCACTCTCACTTACCTTTTTCTTTTTAGCCGGTTGGTCCATTTTGGCTTGCAAAAAATCAATGAGTTTGGTTTGTTGAGAAATAGTGCCTTCCATTTTCACCTTCTCATGAGAATAGAGAACCTACGATTCATGGAAACAAAGATGGCCTCAGAGCTGGGTGGAAGTGTACCTTGAACTTGGTACTTCAAGAATATGATAACATAAAAAACACTGCTGGGTAATCCAATTTAACAGTGAGAAAAAAAAAAAAACAACAACAACAAAAACCCATGGGGCCAGCAAGATGGCTCAGAGGGTAAAGATGCCCTGCCACCAAACCCATTGTCTGAGTTGTATCCTAGGATCATCACGGAAGGAGAGAATTGACTTCCACAGGTTGTTCTCTGACCTCATACACACCCCATGGCATACCTCCCAAATAAATAAACGACCAATAAGTATATCAAGAGTAAAAATACAAATGGCTAATTATGGTATTCAGACTGAAGATACTGTGAGCTTTCAACTTCTAAGAATGTTTGAAAATATTCATAATTAAATGTTGGAGAAACACATGCAGCATACAAACAGACACTAACAACCACAAAGGAGAGAGAGGAGAATGGAAGAGGGAGGGTGGAGGGGGGAGAGAGGGTAAGGAAGAAAGAGGAAAGGAGGGAAGGAAAGGGAGGAAAGGGAGGAAGGTGGAGGAGGCAGCTGCCGCCCACAGTGCCCTTTTGGCCCTCACCTGAATGTTTTCCAGCTGATATTCCAGGTCACTCCTTTCTGTCTTCAACAGATCTGCCCGGTCCAGCGCCTCCTGCAGCCCTTGCGTCAGGCGGAAGATGTGGTTCTTCTGCAGGTCCATCTGCTGCTGCAGCTTTGCTTGCTGATGGGGCGGAGGGGATGGCAAGAGGCTTGACACTGTACAGAGCTCCACCTCCTTCCCACCGTGGTTCCCAGTCCCCAACTAACTTCTGGTGTGACACCGGAAGTTCCCTTGTCACAGCACCTCCTTCCAGAATTAATGGTGGTTTTCTCTTCCCAGTCAGAAGGCCATCACTAAAAAAGAAGTTTCCAGGACTTCCTGAAGGCCACATGCCTGCAATCTCACACAGCAAGGTAACAGGAAGTCCTGGCCTGCCCACTCTGTGCTACTAAGGAAGCCATTTTAGTACCGTCTGTCCCACTTGGGGGTGCCTAGGATCTCCACGTGTCACCAGAAAAGCTACTATACAGGCTGTGTGGTGTGTACAGAGAGACAAGTCATGTCAGTTCTAGCAGCAGGATTGCCCTCAAGTACATAAATAGTCATAATTAGAGGACACGTTTCTGCCGTGGAGGGACCAAGAAGAGCATAGCTACGCAATAGGAGTTGGTAAAAACCCTAGGAAATAAATGTGGTTCATACACTAGAAATAGCTTGTGTTGAAAAAAATATCTCTCCGGTCTTTACAGTTTAAGTCAGCTGGCCCCTTCCTAAAATGTGCTCCATTTGGGGAGATGATGCTTGATCTCGTCTAACCTCCGGTTGTCATACAACCGCAGTCAAGGTGGCCCACAGAACCTCTTCCTGACGGTCTAGAATCTGCAGACTAAGGGAACTCAAGCTAAGATAGCAAAGTGAAGATCATCCTGGGAGCTTTCAAACAGTCCCAGGCAGACAGACACCCCAGTCCCCAACCCCAGCAGAATGGGAGCCACAATGGCTTCAGACTGGCTGGTCCTTGTCCTCTTATTTTTGTTGCTGTCTGCCTGTATTTTACTTCTCATATGCATGGCAATTACTACCAGAGGAATGGCATCATCTTATGGAAAATCGAATCTGGACCCTGCAACTATCTAGATCCTGGCTTCAATCCTGCTCAGATCGCCCTGCCCAGCCTTTGCTCCCTGAGCAGGTGTAAAAACCCCGCCTCCCTGGGTGACAAACTCAACACAGTGCCCATCACACAGTAAGTGTTTGGTGTTGGTAGCCTCTACCTGCATGTCCTTCTTTCTTCTCTCCTTTCAAATCAGTTCTCTTCACACATTCCCACCTGTCTTATCTACCAACCCAGCCACATTTAGTATGTGAGATGGCAAAACTTAACGGTCAACTTGATGGAGAGGAGATTAATGAAGCATGTCTGAGTGTTTCTGATGAATTCCCGGGGCGATTAGCTCTTAGGGCTGTGGCCTAATGAGCCAGTGGTACTACTGGGAGAGGCTGAATGATAGGAGGTGTGGCCTACTTGGAAGAAGTATATCTTTGGGGACTACAGCTTGCCCTGAACTCTCCTCTTTCTCCTGGTCTACATTTCCTGGCTGCCATTGTGGGTAACAGCTTCACTCCTCCAAAACCTCCCCCTGATAAAGACGGATGGTTCTTCTGAAGCTGTGAGCTAAAATAAATACTTTCTTCAAGTTGCTTATGTCATGTATTTTGCCACAACAAAGAGAAAAGTGACTACTACAGTGCATATCTCGGAATTTCTAAAATAAACCAGAGGTAAAAAAAAACAATAACACAACAACAAAAAACAACACAAAGAAGAAAGCAATTAAGATGCTGTTTGAAGGGCACCTTTGGTCCCTGAAAGTCCAAGTGATTTCCTTTCTTAGTTCCTTCCACTATTTTAGGACAATATTAATTAGCAAGCAGGAAACAGGGAAACATGTCATGGGCACAATGGTCTATTTATTGACAGCTGAGCCAAAAATATTTCTCTAGACTAAACACATCAATTATCCACTGGCTCCCAAGAAATAGGCTGTCTGTTTACTGTAATAAAATCAACGAAAGTGATATGTGTATGCTATTAAACTTTATTCCAGCCATCTGTCTGCTGCCCAGAAAGAAGCAAAGGGAGGTGTGTTTGTGGGCCAGAGCTCCCCTGGGAGATGGAGTTGGTGAAGTGCTTAGACCTGTCCAACAATTTTATGAGAGTGACAAGAGACCGAGAAAGGTGACGTAAGGAACTAATGACAGAACGGGAACATGAGCAATTGTGGTGAACAGGAAGGATGGGTCAAAACTAATAAGAAAAGGTTGGGTAGGATGAATAGATATGGGGCATATAGATGCTTAAGAACACACTTTGTGGACAAACAGGAGTAATTTCACGGTTAATGAGTGGCAAAGGCAATGATTAGTCAAAGAGCCAAGTAACCTTCAGGGTTTACTGAACCCAAGGAAGAGATGAAAATAACCCCCCCACACACACACACATACAAACAACACATGAACCACACAGGCACCTAGGGAGAGCAGGTGCCCTGTAGGCTTCCTGCAAGGACAGTACAAACGAGTTCATGCACAGTACTGAGTGAGACACCTGGCACCGAATAACTGTGTCAGTGATGGACTTTAATGGTGAGTCTGTGTGTATGTTTTGGTTTTGACTTGTTCTTGTTTTGTGTGTGCTGGGCTCTTATTTTTTTCTTTTATACTGCTGCGGACTGAACCCAGGCTCTTGCCTACAATAGGCAATCAATCACTCCATCAGTAAAGCTACATCCTCCAGCCCCTAGTTACTTTATTAATCAAATAATTTGGGGCTGGAAAGATAGCTCAGTGACTAAGAGTTCTTGCTGCTCTTCTGGGCACACCAGTTCTGTCCCGAGCACCCATGTCAGGCAAATCTTATCACTACCTGTAACTTCAGTTTCAGGGGATCCGGTGCCCTCTCTGGCTCCCACAGATACCCACACACGTGGACACACACATACACATAAAAAAATAAATGAAAGCAAATTTGACTATTAATATTAATCCTGATTCCCCACTAGCTTCAAAGTACTTGGCAGTTATAGGCTTAAAAAATAAGGAAGGAGTTTCTAAGAATTAGAGTTGTTAGAAATAGGACATGATGTCCACATTCAGGGCAACTCTCCTAGAAGAGGGTCCACAAGGCCTTCCCATGAGAAAGAAGGTGCTAGGGAAGGTACCTTCCACCCTGTGTAGGTCATGAACCATAACCAATGAGTGAATGGACATCCATCTGAGGCATGACTCCCAAAAAAGGTCAAGTGGAAGGAAAAGTCACTGTAAAATCTGTCAGGGGAAGTTAGTCCTGGGTGGAATTTGGGCTGGATGACATTAAAAATTCCTCAATCTGGGGGCTGGAGAGACGGCTCAGAGGTTAAGAGCACCAACTGCTCTTCCAGAGGTCCTGAGTTCAAATCCCAGCAACAACATGGTGGCTCACAACCACCTGTAATGAGATCTGGTGCCCTCTTCTGGTGTGCAGATATACATGGAAGCAGAATGTTGTATACATAATAAATAAAATCTAAAAAAAAAAAAAAAAAACTCAATCTGAGATGAGCCTGTCTCTTCAAAGCCTCTGTCCCTATGGAGACAACCCTTTGGTGGGGGCCAAACTTACGAAGCATGTGGCACACCCCCAGATCCCAATCATGTTTTGTGCAGTAACAATGATACTTTTTGGTCTTATGTGTGAGTTCCAACTCACATCAATGCTGGCCAGATGTCTATTCATCATCTATGCATGAGGGGCAGACTGGGAAACTGGAGATGTTCTCCTAAGTCAGACGGGAGAAGGTGGGGCTGAGTCAGGCTGCCAGCATGCTATTCCTGGCTTTGCCACTGACTCACCATGTAACCCTGGACCAAGCACGGAGCTGTCAAGGCCAGCTTGCCCTTCACAGATGGAAAATAGGACACTTGGGAGCCTCAATTATTTCTGTCCTGTTTCTGTTTCCAGCATGTGCCTGAATGTAGGAACATTGCCTATTCATTCCAGAGAAAAGACCACCTGGTAGATTGATGGGTTCTATTACAGGTCAGGCATTCCCAACATCAAAACCCCGGACTGGAAATGCTCCAAGACCCAAAACTTCTTGATTGGTAAATGCCAACTGAACTCATGTGATGGACCACAGTCAAATATGTGGGTATGTTAAAAATGCTGGACAAAGACGTCATATAGAGCTCAGAATTGTGGTGCTTACCCAGCATGCATCGGGCCCCAGATTCAAGCCCCATTACCACACACACAGACAGTCTAACGTTACTGCCAGTCTATGCGTACACAGTGTATATGATGTGAGGGAATCTCATGTTTATATTTAAGTCCTATCCCCAAGAGGTTTCATTATTTATACATGCCAATATCTCGAAGATCCAAAATCCACCAACCTGTGGCTCGGTGGCATTAAGGACATTCTCTCTGTTGTGCAACCGGGGCCACCATCTACCTCCAGAACTTTGCCAGACGGCCAGCTGTGAGTTTATTCCACAATTCCCTATAAGCAGTCCTAAGACCTGCAATGTTTTCTCTACTCCCCTCAAACAGAACAGCACAGCCACGGCAGGAGCTGTGACCATGTGATTATCGTGGGATTTCGGCTAACCAAGCTGCCGTGCTCACTAGGATTTAGATAGTGCCCTTTTCCAGCTTCTCACCAGCTAGCAACAGGAAGTACATCTGTCCTTATAGGTCAAGTCAAGTGAGGGTAAAGCCATGTATGAGACTTTGGTTGGGGGTGGGAAGTCATCACTGATTTAAATAGCAATTTTCAGAGCTCCGAGGAGAAAAGACATGAAGTCACAGAAGGGATGCATTTAGGAGATCAAGCTGGAGCTTGACATTCTGCATGTTGGAAGCAGAAGAATTCATTTTTAATTGAATTAAGTGCATGTTCAAAGGCCCTTGTGAAATTTGGTACTCAAAGTCTGATCACATCCTTGCCCTGTGTAGGAAGCTAATTTGCATTGGTGTTCTGTCAACATGAAACTTAATATGCTTCAACTATCAACTCTTAAAGACAATCTAACTCAACCCTCACTCAGCCATGTGCTCACTAAGCGTCTATTGGGCATATACTAACTCAGATGAACACCGCCTCCATTGAGAGCCATATGCCAAGACACAAATACAGATGCTCTGGACTTCAGGACAAACTCTTTTACTGTGTTAAGCAATAGGAAGTATTATGTGGTTCCCTTAGGACTCTACCTCAAAAATTCTAGTTTCAAAATCTGAATGTCTAATTTGGATCCAGTCACCCAAACATAATGACTTTCCTCTTTCAGAATTGTACCTGGGGGCTCAGGAGATGGCTCAGTGGGTAAAAACACTTCCTATGTGAGAATGAGGACATGAGTTGGAACTCCCACCATCCACCTAAAGAGCTGGGCATGGCTATGGATGCCTATAACCCTGTGGTCGGGACAGAGACAGCAGGATCTCTTGAGCTCACTGGTCTGGTCAAAATGTGAAGCTTCCATTGCAGTGAGAGGTCCTGCCTCAATGGAAATGAAGTGGACAGAAATAGACCAACATGCTCCTCTGGCCTCTGCATGTGAAGCACACAGGCATACAACCCCACATATACACATGCATGCAACACTCACACAAACTCCAACACAGAGATACATGTGCATACACACTCACAATCCACACTGGCTTTACCTTCCTGGTGGCTCACACTCACCTCTTCCAGAAGCCTCTGTTTGAGTTCCCGTTCAGTCTCCAGTTTCTGCTGTAAGCTCCGGGCATTCATCTCAAGCATGGTGTGCTTCTTCTCCAGGTCATTGAGCTGGGCATTTGGAAAAATTGGCCATGATGCCACATTTAGGAATGTTAAAGGATTAAAGACTTTTTGAGATGTCCCCAGACCTTCGCAAGTAAAGGATAACCAAGGTCTAAAAGTCACAAGTTTTCATTTGAAAAAAAGAAAAAATGACAAACGTGAGGACAAGAATCCCCTCTGAGGGTCATCTGTATCATTGTACCAAGTTTCAAGAGCGTGGCTGCTCAGTTCGACTGTCATGCCTTGCCCAAATTCAATTAAATGATCATATTCTGAGGGCTTAAAAATGTATTGTAGCTGCTGGGATGAAAAGATGGCTAAGCATTCCCAAGTGCCCTTCATTGGGGCCAGAAAAGCAGAGAGGGTGGTTATCACGAGGCGCATTAGCTACCTCGAGGCACATCTGCGAAGGAAAACGGCCTTGTTAGGGAAAAGGCTGATGAGAGAGAAAGGTGCCTCAAAAACAGGTAAGATAAAATGGTATTGGGGTATCTAGAAACACAGAAATTTACTACTAAATACCACAAAAATAGCCAACTAGAATAGAAAGCAGCATTCATGCCAAACCCAGAAAGGTTCATTTCTCTCCAGACAGTAAATGTACTGTCCTCAACTTTAACAATGTTGACCAGCTAGCCTCCGAGTCAGAGCTGTCCTTGGGTGTCGAGTTATAACCTTGAAACCAATGGTTCTGTTTCTATGGATTTCCGGTAAGAAAATAATCACAGATGTCCATAGAGATGTATGTTCATCACAGTGTTATTCATAGGGAAAAAAACTGGAAGAAGTTCAAATTTCCTGTACAAAGGCAATGCTCAAATTAGATGCCCGTGTGCAATCTTTTCAGAATTACATTTATAAAAAAAATAATAAGTCAGGAAAAAACCTCCAGTTACATGATTTTTTTTTAAAAAAAAAAGATGTAAAAGTATATAAATAGTAAGAGCCTAGAGTTATAAAAAAAAGTGTGTGTGTACATGTCTGCATGCATAAGAATAAGCAAACACAAAGCTGCAGATAATCCCATCACTATAACAAGGTAATTGTTACCAGTTTTTCTTTTCCCTTCTCTGTAGTTTTGTTCTTTTCCACAATAGCCCCAAGTAATGACTTTTACATGAAATGATAGTGTTATTTAAAATACAGAATCCTGATCACCATTTTATATGTCCATATGCAAAGAAGAAACAAAGTTTCTCTGATATCTCCTTTTGCTATCAAGTGTCTAATCTACATTTCTTCAATCTATTAGACAAAACACCAAACACTGTCCAGTCCTTGCAGATGCATTGCAGACCATGGGCGTGGATGGAACGTGAGCACTCCTAACTGACTCTCTGAGGACTTGTGTGCATTACATCCTATTGTGTTCAGAATGGCCCCAGAGTTCCTGTATTAAAGACTTAAATCTAACTCACACGCAGATGATACTAGGAATCGGGGCCTGTGGGAGATATTAGTATTACATGAGGCTGTAAGGGAGAGGCCCCATGGAGGCAATAGTGGCTTCCTACATAGATGACAGAGCTGGCATGAAGGGTTCTGCCTCATCATGCAGCATCCTCCATCAATATGACACAGCAAGAGGGACCTCAACAGATGCAAGCACCACCATCTTGGACTTTCCAGCCTCTAGAACTATCAGCCCAATACATTCTTTATAGATTACCTGGTCCCAAGTACTTGGGTATAGCAGCAGAAAACGGACTACAATCGGCTCGCTGTGAACATGGCATATGGAAAACATGAGCTGCCTACGATCATACTGAAAGAACGAGTCACTGTCACCATGCTCTTCTGAAGGGTGAACAACACACGAGGCCATTTAGGAATCAAATGGTGCTATGTCCCCAGTGCTGGACTTTTGGAGCCCAGACGGCAAGATGTTAAAAAAAAAAAGTCACCACCCAATCAGGATAACCTGTACCCACCACACCTAGCTATGCCATCACCAATCAAGAATGCCCCGTGGTGAATCATAGCTGACATTTTGGAGTGAGCAAAGGAATGCTTATGAAATGTGTTTACCGAAGGCTGACCTCGGGCTGTGTCTGAATTTGTGTTAATCCTGCCTTTAAAGGGAGAAATGGAGACGTTTTTCTGCAAGGCGGAAAGGGTGGGTGCTGACCTTGTCGGACAGGCTCTCAGCCTTCAGCTTCTGTTCTTTGAGAGCCTGCTGCAGGGCAAGAATCTCGGCCTTGTGTTCCTTCACTGCCAGCTCCACCACCTGGCGAGACTCGGTGATCCGCTGGTCAGCTCTCGCCCTGCCAGAGAAGCACAGGCCCACTTTCAGGAGACCCACACCACAGACCTGGAGAGAGAAGGCTGGTCCATTTCTAAACAGGCTGCAGGCTGGACAGCCCAACCATGGACTCTACCTTTAAATGTTGTCTTCCTTCCTGACAGCTTACAGAGCAAAAATCTGACCCATTTCTGACTTGGGTTAAAATTGCCCTGAAGCAGTAAAGTTCCTATGGGGACTGACTGTGGAGAGACTCGGGCTGAGGAGGGAAAAGCCATTCTGAAATGAAAACTGGACTGAACGTGAATGTGTCCAGCCCTACTTCTTAAGTCATGCTTCTTTGTTCCCCACCCTAAGCACAAATCCACTGCTCTCCAAGCAGGCAGCATCTCTACCCTAGGTGACAGACATCAAAACACACAGGAAGGTGACTCTTGGCTTCTTGAGGACAAGGACAAAGATTAAAAAGGATATTGTGTTCGGCTATCTAATACCAAACAAGAATAGAAAAGCAAGCCAGGAAGGACCTTTCATGATGGCACTGGAAGTAGACATGGAATGAAGTGGTCCACACATTTTCCGGGTGTGGCTGTGAATCTCTCCATTCCAAAGCCAGATCCACCATGCCCCCCAGCCCTGACTTATCCCTGAAGGACTGAAGGAACAGCTCACAAAGAAGCTGGGCTTGAGTGTGGGCCAGAAGGCACTTCCAGGGGAGCCTCATCCCTGGGAAGCAGAAGGAAGGGAAGGGACAGGCTTTAAAAACAGCAGTCCTTGACATCAAATATGTCACAAGGCAATTATTGCTCCCAGTTTTTCTTGCAATTTCGGAGCTCTCATCTTTTGCCTCCCATCTTTTCTATTTCAACTCAATCAGATCATTCAGCCAGCATATTTTATTATATGTGCTATGGTCACCACGTAATCATGGGGGAGGGGTTACAAAAATGACTGACAGTCTGATTAGGTTGCCTTGCTTATGGGACAGAGACCCACAGATGATGACACCAGCAGGGTCTTGAAGGATAGATACCATGTAGGAAGAGATATGAAGTCTCCAGCTAATGCCAAACCATATGAAAGAGAGAAACAGGGCCCTTGGATTTCAAAGGAATGTCTGGCCATCTTTATGCAACATGGCTAGAATATAAAACAGTGCACTGCCATGGGTTACAAACTGAGCATCAAAGCTCTTCAGGTGGGTGGCACATTCAATGAGAATGGGACGCCCTAAACTGTGATGGGTTCAGCAGGGAATAAACTACCATTTAAAAGAAAAAGATAGGGGATGAGAGAAGAGAGAGGAGAAGGGAATGGGTGCCAGTCCATGCTTACCCCAAGGAGCACTGGGTGACCTCTGGGATTGTTTTTAGCTGTCACAGCTTGAGAAGTAAGTTGTAGCTGGCATCTAGTTAAAAGAAACCATGTGCCCTGTCCTATAATACATATCTCCCTGCACATGGGTAACAAGGGATGCTCAGGCAATTCATGGTATCAGGGCTCTAGAACAGAGGGAAAATGAGAGTCTCCCTCATTACCAGGATTCAAACGGTGGGGACCTCATTAACTACTTGGTGACATTATTGGGATAAGAATGTTGGTAAGGCTGTATCTACAGAAAAGCACTGATATTTTATGCCTTGGTTTCTGGGCCTCTGCAAAGGACAAAAGCACACCAGCCACTACCACAGGATCCAGGTGACATTTGCCAGTTGTACAGCCAGGATGTCCATTCCTCCCTGGCTCTGCTGGTTATTGCTCCTGAGATAGCTCAGTCTCAGGACACTGGGATGGGGATTGAGGGGTGATGACCTGGTGCTGTCTTTACACAAAAGGGGAAGTCCCACCTGCTTTGCTTCTCAGTGTCCAACATCCTCTGTAACTCTCGAACACGACACTCAAACTGGGACTTCTCGTCCCCGAGGACGCTCCTCCAGGCCTCCCACTGCCGCTCTTTTTCCAGAAGCTCATCATTTAGGGCCTCCAAGTCCATGACCTGTTCCTCCAGCATGGTGCATGTGGTCTTCAGAGCCTCCATCGTCTGCAAGTCAGTAGCACTGAGTTGTGCCTTGTGTCAGATGGGGATTCCCAGAGATGACTTTGGTCAAATGGCTTGAGAAAAGCAGACATTCCTAACCACAGACTCAATCAGGTTGTTTTTCTATCCCACAGCCCAAGGAGACTGATGACAATGAACCGAAGGCCATCTATCTGTACTAGCATCTGAAAAGTACAACCCAAAGCCAGCCACGGGGTGGGGAGTGGGGGGACACACACACCTATAATCCCAGCACTCAGGAAAAGGTCAAGAGGTCACTGTCAGCCTAGACTGTGCTAGTAAGTTCTGGCTAGATAGAGTTATACAGTGAGACTGTCTATAAAAAAAATCAATCGTATCCACTTTTAAAGATTTCTTATTGTTATTTGTGTGTGTGTGTGTGTGTGTGTGTGTGTGTGTGTGTGATGTATGCAGGTCCTTAGGAGGTCAGAAGATGGTATTGGATCCCTTGGAACTGGAGGCTACAGGCTGTTGTAACCCACCATGTGGATACTGGGAACTGACTGAACTCACATCCTCCGGAAAAGCAGTAAGCGCTCTCTACTTCGGAGTCACCTCTGGCCCCAGTACCCACTTTTAAAATCCATTTTAAGAACCACATCCTTGGCTATCAACCAGGATTGACAGGAGCCTGTTTGAAGGAGCCAGCTTGGTCTTGAAACCCCCCCAGAGAGAACACACCAGACCCTTCTAAATCCTTCTAAGGGTCCTCCAGGGACCCTTAGGGCCAGCCTCTCCTCTTACTTGCTTCTGGCTGGTGAGCTGCATCTCCCTCTCGGTGATCTCACGGCGGAGATGGTCCACCTCGCTTCGCAGCTGCACGATCTCATCATTGGCACCGGTAGCCTCGTCAAGTTGTTTGGACAAATAGAAGTTTTGGTTGTTGAGTTCAGCATTGTCCTCAGTCAGCTGGTTCAGCTGCTCCTCCAGGTCGGTGATGACCTATGGGGTGGGTGTGGGAGGGGAGTTATATATCAAAAAAGGGTCACTGTCACTAAGGAAATGCTTCTAGAACCAGTGGCTCTGAAAGCTGCAGTGGGACAGCGTCACATGGCATGACAATGGGAACCAGCGTGCAGCTATTTGACTTGATGCTCAGCCCGAGCTCCCTCACCAGCTCACTGGTTACAGCATGTACACTGGGGGGAGGTACCTCCTCCCTCTCTAACTTGTGGTACATCTGGAAAACACAGCAAGAGTCAGTCAACCAAGTGCTAAATGGATGGGGCAAGCTCAAATGAGATCCAGTTAGTAGCAGGAAGAATTATGCAAGGAGGGGAACACAGGTCAAGGAGATAGGACTGTCTCTGGGATTGCAATCATCTAATTAAACTGAAATCGACCTTGACACCGCCTACAGGACACCGCCACTGCAGACAGCCTTGGTCTTAGAAAGCCAAATAAAGTTTTATCAGGGAAAAATCACAATGAAAGACACTAAGGGTTATTTGAATAAAATCACAGGCAGTGAATTTAATTCTGTGTAACAAAGATGGGGAAGAAATCTTAAGGGAGGCTGGGATAATTCTGAGGATACAATAGCACATCACGATGAGGCTTTAATGGATTCTGCTACACAGTGAGCTCTCCGAGTATATGAAATTGTCATTTTATTGAGAGAGATTTAATCTGGTTTTACTAAATTATTTCCCTGTTCAGTGGCAGAATGACTTCAATTTCAGTGTGTTTAGCTTGTCTGTTCTCTTAGCTGAGGCTTAGTATCGGTGCTTGTAGAGGACATTTATATAAAATACTTTAGAAGTTTTAGGGTAATTTCTCATAATAGTTAGAATACGGCACATGGGCCATAAATTAAAATTTATATAACAAAAAGAAGGAAGTTAAAAGGAAATGTCTTTAAGCCTAGAATTATTAACTGTTTCAGGTTTTAACACCTACAACAGACATAGTTCATGATCTGTTAGCATTGCTATCATGCCTAATATTTTAACCCTCTTAATCAACTTAAAAATAAAAAGGTCTTCCTAGGCACATAGAATTAAAAGATATAAACTAAGGATATTTCTTTGACATACCTCAGAAAGTCCACTTTACTGAGCAACTAGCCTCTCAGGATAGAAGTAGCCTAGGAACCTGTTTGGAACATGCAAACCAATGTTGAACCCTGTGTGCCAGTAAGAGGTGCACTTCGAGCTAGGAGTAGTCAATGAAGATGCTATCAGTCTCTTGGACAAAACAGTTTCCTTAGAAACCTGGAAAAGGAACCTTACACTGTGCCACTGCCCTCAGACAGTTTACCTCAAATGGTCCTATGTCACCCTTCTGGTGCCAAGGGTAAGTTCAGACAGGCAACTCCATACATTCAACCTGTCTTCATGCTACACAAAGTAACTCTACCACTTGAGGTCCTTCCCCTAAACTCTAAATGTCCCATTAACCATTCGCCTCTTCTTTATTCTTTTTTCAATCCGAGACAGGGTTTCTCTGTGTAGCCCTGGCTGTTCTGGAACTCACTCTGTAGGACAGGCTGGCCTCAAAGCCTGCCTTTGCTTCC